CACAGTGCAGACTGCTCAGGCATGGGCTGAGGGGTGTTGGGGCTGGATCCGGGCATGACCTGGCTTAAGCCGCTCTCTGGCCCACTGGCCCGGTCTGGGCTATGGATGCTGGTGCTGCTGCTCCCGCCACTGTCACTGCTCGAAGACTGGAAGGAAAAGGAAGAACCAGGGTCACCACTGGCCTGTCTTGCTGCATAAGAGCCTTACTGTAGCTCCACATGCAACACCCTTTTAAGACTCCTCCTACTCTTTCAAGTACTGTCACAAGCATGGATCCTGGGCCTCAAGGTTTATAAAGCATATTCACATATGGCACTGTGTTCTACCCTCACAACTGTCTTGCTGGATTGAGGGGGATGGATTAGCCCATGACACAGTGTATCAGGATTTAAACAAATCCACATTGCTCAACTGTTTCCTCGAAAATAAGTCCTATCTGGAAAAAAAGTTCTAGCATGATTTTAGAAGAGATATCCCCTGAAAATGAGCCCTATTGCATCTTCTGGCGCAAGCCTTACTGGGTTTTACTCTAAGACCCAAGGGGGTTCATCTTCAGGGGGTTTCTCTTCTAAAGTCATCCTAGCACTTTTTCAGACCTCAGTCCAACTGTTAGGTGTGATGGCAAATGCTTAGAGTCCCAGCACTCCAGGAGCCTACGGCAGTGGGAATCACAAAGCTGGACCCCAGCTTGGGCAACTCAGTGACTTACATGCTGTCTCAAAATAATGAAAGGTTGGGAGTATGCAGCTCAGTGGGAAGATCCTGCATTCATTCCCTAGTACCGCCAAAAAGGAAATAAATAATAACTACGCCTTAATTCCTTTACTCATCTCTCTACCTGCTGTTACCATCCACTCCAATACTTTCTACTCATCAAAGAAGGAACTATTCCACCTCCAAGGAAAAGTGACACAGTATTTTTTTCTTAAAGTGTCTCCCATAACAAATAAAGTGGATTCCAGGGACAAGAATAAAAACTGAAAATCTATGCCAAGTGTGTGATCATCTCATCCTGGACATTCATGCTGGCCTCCATGTGGCGATCCTCCTGCCTCAGCCTCCTGTGTGCTAAAAGTACAGGCATATGCCACCATGCACAGCTGTAGTCATCTTAACGAAGTCACTTTTCAGAAAGTTGCTGTCCTTAATCAAAGCAAGTCACTCTCAGAAATCTTTGCCTTTTGACATTAGGATTCTAAAAACAGAAGGTAATGCCAGCCAAGGACCCTTTTCACAATTATGGTTTTTTCTGGGGGTGGGGGGTACCAGGGAATCAAACTCAGGACCTTGTGCTTGCGAGGCAGGCAGTGGAACCGGTGAGCTAAATCCCTGGCCACAATTATGGTTTTTATAATTTTAATACTGCTTTTGAATAGCAACTCCTTTCTCTGTAACTCAAAACAATACTAGAAGGAATCAATACACAAGAAATTTAGGATTATAATGAACTGGTATATAACTTTATTTAAACTTGTCTCTTTCATACTTCCAAATTTATGTTCTCCTAAAGACTAGGTTTTCAGATATCTACTTATAATTATGTAAAGTCCACACATATAAGACTAAAAAGAGATCACAGTAGTTATGTTAGAATGGAAGGGTTATAGCTACTTATTTTTGCTGCCCTTTACATAACTTTTTTCCATGTAGGTGTTACATATTTTTATTGTAAAAATAAATTTACATAAAATGTTTCAGATATATAATGTGATTTGGGCGCGGGGGGAGGGGGGGTGTACCAGGGATCCAACTCAGGACCTTGTGCTTGCGAGGCAGGCGGTGGCACCACTGAGCTATATCCCTGGTCCTATGCTTTATCCATTGTCGGGAGTCATTCTACATAGTTTGGGGGGAAAATTATTTCATAATTAAATTATGATTAGGGCCGTCTGAGGCCTGATGTCCTTGCCCATGAGCTGGCTGTGGCATGCAGAAACGTGACTCCATGTGCCTCCGGTCACAGCTGAGGCTCCAATGGCCCTGGGATGCTGTGACGCTTAAGGATATCTGAAGATATCCTGGTTCTTCGAAAACCAACTATTAATCAAAAAAGGCAAGGTTTCACTTGGGGAGGGACAAATTCCATTATCACCTTAACGCCCACCTACTGTTGTAAGAATGTTTTGCTCATCTCATGTCATCCTCAACAGAAGATCTTCATCTACCCAAGATCTTCCTCAGCATAAGCTCATGTCCTGTGATTACTGCCACCCTCTTGAGTCACTTGATACTCCCTCCGATTATTGTATGAACCCATTAAATAGAAGCAAGCTTGGAGAATGTTTGTCAGTATGTCAGCTGCTTTTTAAAATTTTTTTGTACCAGGGACAGAACTTGGGGCCTTGTGCTTGCAAGGCAGGCTAAATCCCTGGCCAGCTGCTTTTAAAAAAAAATTGAACTTTTGGTAATCCTCCCGCCTCAGCCTCCCAAGGAGTGCTGGTATTATAAGCATGCACCACCAAAATATTTTTCTTTAAGGTAAGTGTCTGGAAAGATTAG